TTCCTGCTGTTAATAAATGTATGCGGTGGTTTGGTTATTTTTCATACACTGAAAATACTTGAGGCCAGTAGAAATTTTATTAACAGTCCTAACAAGGAGACCTGTTTAAGGTGGGAAATGTATTCATAAAAAGACCGTTACCTTGCCCTGGCATTTTAATTATGTCCTAAAATAATTGCTCTCGTCTTTAAGACTAGGAAAGAGTTTCTCAGTGTATTTTCCTAAGTAATGTCAGAGTATTCTAAGATTGTTAACTTACAGGGAAATGAATGTCACAGCCTCTGGAGAAAGACATTTTAATCACTTCAGTGGTGTCATTCATATGTGGCGTTAATGATTTCCTTTGAGTCGTGGGTGGGGAAGAGTTATGTACATACTATCAGTTACTTGAGTGATTTTTATTGGACTGTTTTTCTCATCTTTCGGAAGTTGTGGAATGCTTATGTTCAGTTTCTCAAATAGAGTCTATATCTTACTTCCTAGTTTTAAAAAAGTCATATTTATTTAAGCTTAGATCTTTTCCCCATATCTAAATACCTTCATTATCAGAGTTCTACATGTCATATACAATAATTATGAGATTTTTAAGATTTTCTCCACAGCACTTAAAGATTAACATGATATATTTAAATTCTAATTTTAGAAACAATTTTTTTACCAAAACATTTCTGACATCTACTATTGAAAATGGAGGAGGACCACCAAGAATGGGAACTAGAGGTGGAAAACAATGAGATAGAAATAGCACAAGACACTCTGGAGAAATCCATAACTATCATCAAGCAGCAGGCGGCCTATAATCACAGGCCCCGGCTCGCGCAGGTTGCAGAGCTGAGGTCCCACTGTCCTGAAGGAAGGGGGCGCCGGGCGTTAGAGCCAATGCTGTGTGGTCGCCCCGGCCTGTCATCGGGTCTCCTTCATCCCCTCCTGCACACCTGCTACCTGGCTCGCCCATCAGGCCACCCAGAGCTGTGCAGGGAGATGGGGAGGCGGGGGCAGAGGCCAGCCCTGTCTCCTCCGGCCTTTTTCCGGGAACAGAGAGGGACCCTGACCCTGCCGGCTCTACCTCACCTCTCAGGCAAGTCCGGGGAGCGAAAGAGCATCCGAAGCTGAAGGCAGTGCTCACCCTTTCGATGCTGGAGAAGTAACCCCCGCCTCCCTGCATCCAGCGCACATGTCTGTGCATACGCGCACATGCACGCACACGTATGCACACGCATGCACACGTGCGCGTGCTTGACGTGTGGAATAGAGGCGGTGTCCACCCTGCATGCTCACTGGAAACTCACACAAGGACAAGAGCTGCAAAGAGTGAAAGTGAAGCAGGAGCCGCTTGCCCGCCACAGCAGCAGGACGGAGGCCAGGGGCAGTTCCCACACCGAGGGGCCATGCAGGATTGGCACGGGGGACGTGTGTGGGAAGAGCCACGTGGCAGGTTATTGGGGACAGGAGGGAATGAACTGATGGATGAAGGACATGGCATTAACTGGATGTTCAAGTGGGAAAATAAAAAGACCGCTGCTTCTGAGCACACCCAGAGGGAATTCCAAGTGAAGTAATTTCACAAAATAGAAGAGACTCCTAGTGACTCAGGCCAGAGAGGCACTTCCTAACAAGACACAAAAAACTAAACCTTCCAGGAGATATCGGTAACCTGCCTACTTTGAAATTTAAAACTGTGTTTAACAAAAACACCATAAACAGCATTAAAAAATGAGAGAAGATATTTGAAATACACATCAAGACCTTCGTCTAATTTATAAGAAACAGATACAGCCCGATAGAAAAACAGGCGAAAGATATGAAGATGCAGTTCATGGAAACCAGACAGCCAATAAGCATGGAAAAAATGCTCAGCCTCCCTGGGACCACAGAAGTCTCAGTGAAACAAGAGTGTCCTGCCTGTCAACCCCATCGTGTTGGTAGCACCGGATGTCAGCAGGGGTGCGTGTGTGGGGCGCCTGAACTGGAAGGGCTGCCTTGCAGAGCAGTTTAGCAGCAGCTGGTAACATACATGGCTTGTGCCGCTTTTAATCACATACTTTAGGAAGACTCTGTACATGTTCATGAAGATATGTTCAGGAATGTGCTGTATGATTTGTATTGGCCAAAAACCTTATTAAAAACCTTAATATCCAGAGCAGTTGAAATACGTTCACAAGAGCCACGTTCATCAGTATGGATAAATTTCCAGACAGTGCTGAGCAAGAAAAACGAAGTGCGAAGGCTGCCTGTGATGCCCCGGCTCGTATTCATGCTTGAAAACGAGCTGATGATCCCTCAGCCTCAACTCTGAGACCGGGAGAGCCCTGGAAACCTAGAATTAGTTTTGGCCGCAAAATCTACCTTGGCCAGGTTCACCCCGTGCCAGCCCTGGACGCTCTCCGCGTCTGTCCTCCGGCCCTTCCTGCCCTGCCCCTGCTCTCCTGCTTCCCCATTGGACAGGGGGCACTGGGAGCTGGAGGGGGTGCGGCAAGCTCCTTCCTGGTGGCAGTCCCACGACCACAGCTCTCCTGCAGCCGTCACCTCTGGCCTGCGCTTGCTGTGTCGCCCGGCTCTGGCTGCATCGCTGTCCAGCCCTGGCTGCATCGCCGCCTGGCCCTGGCTGCATCGCCGCCCCTGTGAGGTGCCCCTGGCCTCGGCCACACTCCTGCAGCAGCCCCTTCACCCAGCGCTCCTGGAACCCCCGGGAACAGTCAGTAGCCCCTGATTGCTGCCAGGCCTCTGGTGGACAAGACAGTCTGTGTCGATCCCACTCGGCGGGAACAAAAATATTCCTGTGCCTGGAAGTGTCTTCGAAGTACACAGTAAACTTGTAGTTAAGCCACGTAAATATTCTGTCAGGAATGATATTATTTGCGAATCATAAATTATAAATGGTCATCTTTTCTAACAACTTCTTTATGTTCTTACCTTTTTTTTTTTTTTTTAAATTATGATACAAAGAAATTCATTTCATCTCTCTGTTTCCTCTGCCACCATGTCTGACTCTCAAACGAGAAGATAATCAGATTTAACATATAGATTAGAGGAGCTGTCTGGTCACCTCTGGGCCTGAGCCGCAGTGGCCAGAGCGGAGCAGGATGAGTCCTCAAACAGGCTGCCGGCGGGCGGGCAGGAGGCGCCCAGCCTCCCTCCACGCGCTGCTCGTTGTTACTGTCCCGGGGAAGTAGGTCGTTCTGACCTTGGCTGCCGGGTTAGTGTAAGCCTGCTTAGAAATGACTACATGTCACTTACCGGCCAGTGATGTTAACCAGAAAAGGGCTCAGCCGAAGAAAGGCCCGTGCCGTCAAGAGTGGCAGGTATCGGCGTGAGTCTTCCGTGGCAGTCGCCCCTTAGTGTCGTGGGGTTTGGTTCCAGGACCCTCGCGGCTACGAGACCCATGACGCTCACATCTCCTGTATAAAAGGGCGTAGTACTGGCATGTAACCCGCCCACATCCCCCGTGTCCCTGACGACATCTCTAGATCACTGAGAGCACCTAATACAGTCTAAGCGCCACGCGACTCTTTGCCGGTGCAAGGCAAGTCCAGGTTTTGCTTTTTTGAACTTTCAGGAATTTTTTCTGAATATTTATAGTCTGAGGTTGGTGGAGTCCTTGAATGCGGGACCTGTGTATATGGGGGGAAGGAAGGGGGAGTGGGAGTGACTGTACTCAGTCGTCAGTGGGAGGAAGCTAACAGGAGCATAAACGGGTCTGCTTTCTATTCTCAGTTAGGAAAGAAGCCACTTTTGAAAAGACTTACATTTACTAAAAAAATGAATAAGATGGTAGGTTTTGGCTTCATTGTTTTGTTTTTGTGGTACACGGGCCTCTCACTGTTGTGGCCTCTCCTGTTG